GAATTCCTTATCCAAAACTAAGTAAAGTCAACTATTGAAACAGACAAATAGAAATAAAAGTGACATTTTTGAAAATCTCAGAAGTCTATAAACTATGAAAAGTGACAAAAACAAAACTCAATTTCTGTTTTATTCCACATTTCTCCTGTATTGTCTTTTGTTGCCTTTTTCATGTTTGTTTCTTTCTCCTTCCATCTAAATCTAAGAGTGAACTTAAAAAAGGCTTATAGTGGAATGTCAATCTCAACTTAGCTGTAACAGTTGAAAACAATCTAAACGTATCAAATGATAGATGCTGAATCTATATATCGAAACTCAGATCTTAAATACGTTTAACGAGTCTCACAGTTTATGCGAAATCGTCTGGCTTCCCGACATTGATGTTCTGTTCTGCCAAGAACTCCGTAATAGCCTTCTTTTGCCATCCTTTGAAGCTCCTACAAAACCACGTAATCCATAAGCTGAGAGGATCAAGAACGCAAACAAGCGACATTTAAATGAGAATGATTTTAGACTTTACTTGTGATCAAGATGAGCCAAGATCTCGCCTCCGGGGAATGATGCTTTAGTAGCTTCAAATGCTGCTTTGATTGATTCCCTCCAACTTCCACCGATGTAATTCTCTCCAGGTTTTGGTTCTTCCATAGGCAATGAGTATCCAGAAAGCAAATGGCCTACCCAAATATCGTCTTTCCTGAATAGTGCGACCAAAATAAATCAGCCAGAGAACGGATTTAATGTTATGCTCAGAATTCAAGACAACTTACAAAACTATATCCGTGTGACGGGGAGCATAATGCCCACCTCCAATCCCTAAAAGAACTTTCCTCTTTCCTATTTCACTGTCAACCAAAATCACATTAGTTTAGATTATAACTACTTGTTTCTTTAAGTCGAGGAAACAATTAAGCTCTCCCATGGATATATATATACCTGTTCCAGTTCCCCACGGCTTCAACGCCTCCAAGCCCAAGTCCTTCCCACATTAACTGAATCACAAAACACAATGCTTTTTTTTACTAAAATAAAAGCAACCTTATAGATATCGACAAGCAATTTCACGTACACTCATAAAGAGCGGTTATAGACTAAAGTAGTTGTTAATCAGTCATGTTAAACAAATATTGATGATTAGAAGCAAACTTTATACCAAAATCCATCTCTCAAAACCATTAAAGTAACAAAATTTTTTTCACTTACAAGAGCCATGACTTGAGCAGCATCTTCTCTCTTCCAATATTCCTCTGTACTACCTACACATAGCAAATGATCATATTAGAGCCTCGAGCTCTCGATACACACAAGTTAAGCATTCGCAGAGATCGATTACAACAAAACTAACAAATTCGAAACTCACCAATCTCCAGGAACATGGTTGGTTTGCTAGTAATTGGCCCATGATGAGTACCTTCCAATGTTATCTACATTAACACAAAAACCAAATTACACCTTTTACTTCAAAACTCCCCAAAGCAAGATTTCAAAAGGAGCAATAAAGAACAACAAAAACACCTCAAACTCAGGAACTAAGCCATGAGAATCGGCCAATTTCTTCAAGAGACGAAACCATGGACCAATTCTAGGGTTTGGTAAAGCAGCCCAACCTGGCTTTCCTCCTTGCGGCGGCGATTCTCCTTCTTTCAAATGAAGAACTCCTACAAAACTCATCAACTTTCTTCACAAAAATCCAAAAATAAACAAAACCCAAATCGAAAGTTCGGATTTTTGTTTGTTTCCGATGATTACCAATCGGATGAACAGTAAGAGCAGGACGATTCGATACGGCGGTGTGACGGCTGAGGAAGATGACTTCATCAACAGATTCTCCGGTAGCTTCTTCCCACCGTAAATCGAGATCGTCTTCTTTCACTATAGATCTATCGTGTTGAATCAATCTCGTTTGCTGGTTACTGAAACTCTTCATGTCCT